TTGTTCTCTTGACAAAACTCAATTAGCCTTTGCCCTGCTTCATTTTGAACTCCAAGGCCAAACTTCCCTGTTGTTCCTTTTATCTCTTGACTCCCTACTTTAGCATTCCAGTCCCCTAGAATGAGAAGAACATCTTTCTTTGGTGCTAGTTCTAGAAGGTGTTGTAAGTCTTCATAGAATTGGTCAATTTCATCCTCTTCAGCATGGGTGGTTGGTCCATAAACTTGGATTACAGTGGTTCCCCGTATGATGACGACACCGCAGAACGACGAAATCGCATGATGATGATTTTTTTGCGATCGCTATAGCGATAGCAAAATGATGTTTCCCGTGGGGGATTTTTGTTTGACGATGATTAGGTCCTTGCTTCGTGAACTGTTTGTTCGTAAAACGATGATTTTTCCGGCTCCGCAAAATGGCTGCCGTGTGTTTTCCGGACCTATGCTTCGCAAGGCAGCCATTTTAATAGCTGATCGGCGCTCGGAAAATGGCTTCCCCCATGGGCGATCTTCACTGGACGACGAGTCAATTTCCTCATTGGAACACATTAAATGGGTTTCAGTGCATTCCAATGGGGAATTGTTTTTCGCATGATGACGATTTCGCTTAACAGCGATTTTCCTGGAATGGATTATTGTCATCATGTGGGGCACCACTGTAATGTGATTTTGAAAGGTCTGCCTTGGATTCGTATTGAAATCATTCTATCATTTTTGAAATTGTATCCCAGTACAGCTTTTCCCACTCTTTCCCCACTCTTTCCCTACTCTATGAGGGTTACTCAATGTCTTCTATGGGATTCTTGCCCACAGTAGTGGATATGATAATCATCTGAATTGAATTTGCCCATTCCCATCCATTTTAGTTCACTGACGCCCAGGATGTCAATGTGTATTCTTGCCATCTCCTGTTTGACCACATCCAGCTTACCAAGGTTCATAGAACTTATGTTCTAAGTTCCTATGCAGTATTTTTCTTTGCAGCATCGTACTTTCCTTTCACTTCCAGGTGCGTCCGCAGCTAAGCATCCTTTTGGCTTTGGCCCAACCACTTCATTAGCTCTGGAGCTAATTATACTTCTCCTCCACTCTTCCTCAGTAGCATGTTGGATGCTTTCCGACCTGAGGGGTTCATCTTCCAGTGTCATATCTTTTGTTTTTGTCCATGGAGTTTTCTTGGCAAAGATACTGGAGTGGCTTGCCAGTTCCTGCTCCAGGTGGATCGTGTTTAGTCAGAACTCTCCACTATGACCTGTCCGTCTTGGGTGTCCCTGCATGGCATAGCCCATAGCTTCCCTGAATTATTCAAGCCCCTTCGCCATGACAAAGCAGCAATCCATGAAGGGGAAATCTCAGTATAGTGAAAGAAAAAAAACTGGTTTCTTTACATAGATATCTTCCAAGACAAAATTTTGCGGGTATGTGGGAGGTAAACATGCCTGAAACCCTGGATAAGGGATCCTGCACCATCATATTGCCTTTATTTTTTGAAACAAATTGCAGTAGGCTCTCAGTAAATCCAGGATGTGGGAATATAGAATTTTCAGCAAGATAGCATTGCTGATGCACTAGTTGAGCACTTCTTGATAATTATTGGCATAACTATATTGCCCTTTCCATTAAAAATGCACTTAATGCCAGAAAGGGTGGTATGCAGGCATACATCCAGTTTATGTTTTTACTTATGTCTGATTGATTGCAAGGAATGTACTGTAATAGGATTATCTTTTGGCTTTGCCATTTATGACTGCTTGGTAGAATGATCCCATTACATGTGTAGTTATTTCATACACACTGGTCAGAATCCTGTTGGATAGTTGCAGTGGTGTAAATACAATGGCAGACATGGCATTGGCTTTTTGCTGCTTTCATCTCCTGATGCTCAATAACTCATGCGACAGGTACACAATGGGAGGACAAGCTTCAACTTGTTAATGAGTAGTCATTCACTGTTGCAGTTAATGTCATTTCAGTTTTTCCCAGTGTAACTAACCAATACAATGGTCTATCCAATGACTCTCAACTGTGTTTTATTTCTTTATCAAAATAACCTTGACGGTTCTAATTCTGTTCCTTTGCTTTGTGGAAGGTTCAGAAATATCTTTTGCTGTAACATTGGATTCTGTCTTAGCTGGACATGAAAACTGGGTCTGTGCTGTTCATTGGCAGCCTTCATTTTTCAAAGGTAAGAAGAACCATCATTTGGGGGGTGCACCCAGACAGGGCAAAGAACATAAGGATTGGTGCTAGAAACGGCTGCTCAAAAGCTTCGCTTTCTCTATGAATATGTGTGACCTACTTCACATTATGGATTTTCTCTTTGCTTCTGGCCAAGCCATGGTGTGGAGCAGCATGCAGTGTCCATTGCTACATGTTCAAGGGTGGATAATCAGGAATTTGTTAAGGGATTTCTGCTCCATATCCTTGTTCTATCCTTTTATGTGTAAGGTAATCCTGTCAATATGGTGCTGCTGTACACAATAACATTGTGAGCTGTATTTCCAGTCTGCTCAATATGGGGCAGCAGTTCAACTGCATCTCGTTAGCCCTTTCCGGTGTTCTCCAATGGACCCATTCAGTGCAAGTAGGCAGCTGGATCATTCTGGAGGGGCAGCACTGTTTTTAGGGGCCCTGTGGAAGCAAAAGAGCCAGTTGCTCTACCCAGGTGGAATCTAACCTCAGTTAATATCCGTGTTGTGTGTTATAGAGACTTAAGCCTTGCACTTCAGGAGGAAGAGGAGGGCACAGGAACCTGTAGCCTGGCCCTCATTTGCTTAACCAATTGATAATGCTACGTCTGAAACCGCATTTAGGGAGATTTAAATGTGTTTCTGGTTCCCATCATCTTTTTAAATAGAAAACAGTGACAGTACTATGACCAGAGTCTGAATCCACCTCTCCTTGCAACTTGGGGGTGAAAGTGTTTTTCTTTTCCTTTCTTATGATTGATTCTGAGCTGGGGGGATTGGAAATATGCGACCAAAAGAATACCCATCAGCACACATATTTTTGTTTGTACATCCTGTTTAGAACACTGTCGATCTGCAGCTGGATTTTTTTTTCCAGCTCTCTAGCCCAGTCTAGTTTATTCTATTTTGTGGCTTTGTAGAGCTGTCCTGCAAGCCATTTTCCTTTCTTTGCATGGCTAATACTTGATTTCAAAAAAGCATGATGACATCTTATGCAAGGATAATTTTTCCCCCTTGTACTGTAGATGGCAGGATGGAACAGCCAATGAAGTTGCTGTCTGCTTCAATGGACAAAACTGTAATCCTGTGGGCTCCAGATGATGAATCCGGGGTGTGGTTGGAGCAGGTAGAGATATCTTTTATACTGTCCTTTTTTTCCTTCCCTCCTCTCTTTAGTTTGAGAAGTTTAGTCGAGAGACTCTGAAGTGAAATTCTAATTTAAAAGAATTCAGACAGAATATATTTTAGTTGCAGAAGGCTCTTCCATGTGCAATGAAAAAGAGAAACATTCTGTATGATTTAAAACAACAAACAGCTGGTGCTTAACAATGGTAGCTAAAAGATTCAGCGAATGGGCAAAAAATCAAGGACAAAGAGGCTGTGCAGTGAAGAAGGCGCATTCTCTACTACTCATCCTGCCTGCCCTAGATTTAAATTAAATCTCTTAAGAACTTTCTATAAATTTTCCTCTTGGTTTCCCAAGAGTGATGAAGATTAGAATTCTGATGTTATTTATTTTGCAATTTAGACTGCTACTACACTGTCCTTTTTGGAGTAGGTTGGTGCACTCTAAATAGGATCTACTGAGGTTGAAATGGAAGAGGCAGGAGCGATATGCCATTTGGTGTAATTCTCCCATCCAAATGTCATACAGACCACAAATCACCCTGTTTAGTCCTGCTCACTCCACTCTCAATTTCCAGTATAATGAAGTGACTTAATAAATAAGCCACTTCAGTATGTTGGCAAATTTAACACTTCCCTTGCTCGTCTGTGGAGGGGCAGGGGAAGTGAAATTATTATTGTTTGCCTCTGCAATTGAGTAACTGCCTGCAGCTGTGGTTTTGATTCACACTTTGCACGAAGGCAAATAATTAAAAAATAATCTGAGTGATTCAGCACATCTGCAATGGTCTAGCAGAGTCAAAAATAACAATAGTAATTTTGCCCCTGCTCCTCTGCAGAAGAGCAGAAGTGTTCAATTTGCCGATATACTGAAGTGTTTCATTTATTAAGTCTTTTGATTGTACTGGAAATTGACAGCGGAAGATGCCTTGGCAGCTTTGACAGCTGCAAGGCTCGATTTTGGTCCATTCTCAGTGATCACATGCACTGGAAACAAACCAAAGTGAACCACATCTAGCTGCATTAAAGAAGTAGAAGCTGGGGCTTCTTTCTAGGTGAGCACAATCTATAAGGTCTGGGTCATACAAGTAGGGCTCCCAGAACAAAGAATGATGGGATTTGTAGTTTTTAAAAGTCCCAAAAGCACATCCCTAGCTATTACAGTTTAGAGATATTGATAGCATTTCATACACTTGTGTAATCTCTTTAAAAATCCAGCTCAGCTAATGGCTGCACCTTGGAAGTAGGACCATCTTCCTTCAAAACATAGTTTGTGAATAAGGAGCCTACTACCTGAATACATAGTGCCTCCTCTTCTAGAGAGATTTGCCCTTATCTTCCCTTTCAGGCATTAACTGAGGGTTTGAGTGGCATAAGCACTGATGTTGATCATGACTAGAAAGATAGTGGTTGTGGTTCAGAGTGGGTTCACCAACCCTGCTTACAAGAAACCCTTCTTTGGGCTGCCCATGGCTACAGCACAGTTTAAAGTTGGTAGGGAAAGTAAGAAAGTAGATTGCTACTTTGGCTGCTGATGTGCACCCCATATTTTGCAGGAGGACACTTTTCCACCTGCATTGATCCCTTTTAGGGAATTATGTAAGTTCGTTCTTCACTGTGTGCAGAGATACTTCTTGTTCTGTTTGTATTGCAAGCTGCCTATGAACCTGGCAAATAAATCCACAGAACAGTTTAAATTTTTTTAGATATGTCACTGTTGTATATGCAGACATTTGATTTCCTTTCATCCCCTGACAAGAAATGCCATGCTTTAAATAATTCCTGGTTACTTTTTTATATGACATTTCTAAGTCCTTTCAGCATGTGTCTTAAAATGAATCTGAATCAGTTGTTTCTTAATTTTGTAATTTCATGATACTAGATTTTTTGGAGTGTGGGATGAGCCATTAATTAGTAGGAAGAAGGCTGGCTGTCGGTTCATGTGATTTGTATCATTCCCCACCCCACCCCCAAAAAAGGTCCGAATAGGAGAAGTAGGTGGAAATACCCTTGGATTTTTTGACTGCCACTTCAGCCCTGATGGCTCGATGATTCTTGCTCATGCATTCCATGGAGCCCTGCATCTTTGGAAACAGACTCCAGCAAACAAGGCAAGATAATTTCTGTTTACTGTTGGGCAGGAAAATGTGATGCATGTCTTTGTCTAGGAAGCGAGGGCCTTCTGCTCATTTGACAAGCTCATTGGATATTCATTTTGAACAGCTTCTTTAATGTGTGCTATAATTACTTGTAAGCAAGGAGAAAGATGCTGGCATGGTGACGATGTATATTCTGCATGATATGAGCGATTAATAAATATAATTGCAAATTTTTCTTTATTGATGGTGGTTTCTGATTGGGACAACGGGGAACCTCCCCCTGAAATTTGGGATGAACTATCTCTGGTCTTTATCCTGGTCTAACACAGCAGTATCTTTCCAAGGTGTCAGGCAGAGGTGTTTCTCAAAGTTGCAACGTGAGATCTTTTCAGTTATGGCTGTCAGGACTGAAACCAAGACTTCTTGTTTGCAAAGCACCTGCTCTAACCTGAACTATAGCTTCAACTCGAAACAATCCTTTTGTGCCTAAATGGCATACCCAGAAGAAGAATAGGGAAAGACTGTATAAAAGGATGATATTGCTTTTTTCATAAATATTTCAAAAGGTATACAAAACAAGGTGTTTTCCCCTCCAAACATGTTCTTGTAAGCAGTGGATACACATGTCTGATCTCTCTGTGCCCATCCATCATTGGACCATCAGCTTTGATTAGCAGAACCGCCTGCATGTGGCCCACCATCATTTTATTCTTTCCCTTTTCATTTGTGTGTATGGCTTCTCAATGTGGAGATCTTCAGATCTACAGTAAAAGATATATTTTGCTTAGGCAAAGCCTATAGTAACCATGCTCTTTATTTAACAGAGAGAATGGGCTCCGGCTGTGATGATTTCGGGACATTTCAACAGTGTGCAAGATGTGAAGTGGGATCCAGAGGGAGAATTTATAATCTCTGTTGGTTCTGACCAAACAACAAGAATCTTTGCTCCATGGAAGAGGGAGAACAAAGCGGAGGTGTGTTTTAGTAGTTCGGTTTTTGCAAGTTTGATGAATCATGTTTAAGGATACTGAAAAGAAAGAAAGAAACTTCAACTATGAGTTGTCTCTAATTTCTCAAAACCATTTTCACTTTTTTGTAGCTTTTTATTGTAGTATTGCCACAACACAATATTTCTGAATTGTATGTGTTTCTAATTCTTGTATTGGAAGAAGTTCAAAAGAAAATGTACTTGTTTATAAGCTTCTTTTAAATTTTGTCATAATGCAGCATTTTCCTGTACTATTTCCTGTGAGGAATTAAGAAACATTGAAGAGAAATCTAGAACTAACGTGGTGTGGGATAGAGTTGGACACAACATGGGAATGGGGAGATGGGCTTCCTTGCACCCTGCCTGGAAATTCTGTCTGTCTGTCTTCATTGTTCATAAGTGTGAGAAGACCCTTGACATCTTCAGTAAGGACTGAGTAAAGATGAGAATGTTCTTTGTGGAGAATGAAATAAATCTGCATTATCAGCATTTTCCTCCTACCTAGAAATGGCATTAGATTGAGGAGGCTGAAAGTTCTTAGTTCTTGCATGCTTCCCTGGTATAAATTGGTACATATATAAATACACATGATGACTTCACTAGGTATCTTGGCATGAAGTGGCAAGGCCCCAAGTCCATGGATATGACATGCAGTGTCTAGCAATGATTGGGCGATTTAAGTTTGTGTCTGGAGCAGATGAGAAAGTGCTTCGAGTATTTACTGCACCTAGGAATTTCATGGAAAACTTCAGCAACATTTCTGGCGTATCTCTGGAGAAACTATACTCTGAGGTAAGTGGATGTTCATGAAGAAGAACAATCACTGCCTGCCTGTCTTCTAGATATGAAGCCCTCATTGTAGATTGAACAGATGACCACATTGGTCCACTGCTTTAAGTTCCTGAGGTTTGGGGCAGGGATTTTTCCAACCCAAGATTAATTGGAGCTACTGTGGACTAAGAATGTCATCTCCAGCACACAAAACAAGCTGCTTTAGTTCCTTTTCTGTTTACTGGAAACACAGATAATATGGAACTCTGGAATGCATCTCATGGGGGAGTAAAAACAGTGGGGTACTTCTGGGGGATTCAGGATGTTGAAAGTTGAAATGCATGATTTTGAGTCAGAGTTTTGGGTTTAGTATTTATTAGCTACTAGTCAGGATATCTAGGACCTTCAGCACATGGAAGGTCAGGCTAAAGACCTTGAGAAGGCTTATTAAAGTATATTTCTGTGATAGTTTTTCAGATAAGAGTAAACTCCAAGAACTTATATGCAATATTATTTTCTTTTTAGGAAATTGTTGATCTACCTGAAGGGGCTACTGTACCAGCCCTGGGGTTGTCTAATAAAGCAGTCTTTCAAGGTAAGGTGTCTGTGGAGGCTCTTTGATCATTAATAATTGTGCCATATAGACTGATGCATGGGAGAGTGGCCTCTTAATCTGTGCAGGGAGTTGGATAATTTGACTTCTCCCTGGTTTATGTCAGGGTCTAGACCCTTGGCTCATTTCTGTCGGAAGACAAGAAGAGAGTTAAGACTTTTCAGCTTTCAATTTTGATTAACTGCACCTTGTTTTGTCCAAACATGGGAGACCGTGGTTGATTTTCAACTACAGATTGTTTCAGACAAATGTCTTTCAAATTATACATTATGAAAAAAGCTTGTTCCAACAAGCAGAGATTATCATTAATGATAGTTGAGGGTGGAGATATAGTACTACATTCAGGTGGGGGAAAAATGAAGTGGAAGTTTCAGATCCTGTTTTTTTCCATTCTGGTGGAGAAAAGGGGAAGGGACAAAATGTGAGACTGAGACTTGTCTATGCTTCTTAATTCATCGCTTGACATGATTTCCAGGTGCAGTCATTTTCTTTTTTGTGTTTCTAAGTATATGTGTATCTGTTGTCTATTGTACTAGTATGTTAGCTACCCTGTTTTCCTGAAAATAAGAGCTAACCTGAAAATAAGCCCTATTATGATTTTTCAGGATGCTCGTAATATAAGCCCTACCCCCAAAATAAGCCCCAGTTAAGTGAATCCTCACTCTCTACCATTGTGCAGCATTGTGCAGCAACCAGAAGAAGATGACATGACTGTATTTGAATAAATGTAGATTGTTGTACATGGAAAAAAAATCCCATGAAAATAAGCCCTAATGCTTTTTTGGAGCAAAAATTAATATAAGACCCTGTCTTGTTTTCAGGAAAACACAGTCGTTTTACTTAGATGTTGACCATTGCTGGCTTCTTATGTGTACTGGCAAGTTACTTATGACTTATGGTAGACGTAACAACCTAATAGCATGACTGACATATGTGAGATGCTCAATGGAGAGTGAGTTACCATAGCCATGCCTCTGTGTGTTCCCATGGCTGAGCAGGGATTTAAACCCAGGCAGTTTTACTTAGATGTTGACCATTGCTGGCTTCTTATGTGTACTGGCAAGTTACTTATGACTTATGGTAGACGTAACAACCTAATAGCATGACTGACATATGTGAGATGCTCAATGGAGAGTGAGTTACCATAGCCATGCCTCTGTGTGTTCCCATGGCTGAGCAGGGATTTAAACCCAGGTACCATGCCTCTGTGTGTTCCCATTGCTGAGCAGGGATTTAAACCTAGGTATCTGGAGTCATGGATAGGCACTCCATCCATTGCACCACATTGACTGTCACACTGACTTCTTAAGTCCAGTGTAATGTTCATGAATTTCTGTCTTTGTATGGAAAATGAAAATACAGATAAATGTGGTTTTCCATCTGTCATAAATGTCTGGCTTCACTAGTCACACTTGGTGTTGAGGGTCATGAGGAACCTTCCCCAGACACAGGACAACTCATTAAAGGAGCTTCTGTAGCTCAGTGGCATGCAGAAAGTCCTCGGTTCTTTTTATCTATTTTATTATTTAAAATATGCCGATGTCACCCTGCATTTCAAAACTTCCAACTCAATCTAATAAAACATACTAAATACATTAAAAATCCCCAGTTAGAAAGATCAAGTATCAGAGGGAAAGGGAAAAAAAACTCTGCCAAAGTCCTGAAGTAGAACAGAGTTGATGAATATGTGGTCTTGCGATTTTATTTGACTGCAATGCCTGTCAGCTCTAGTCAGCATAGCCAGTGGCAAGAAACTATGGAAGTTGCAGCCTAACAACATGTACAAGGCCATGTATTCCTGAAACCTGGATTAGACAGACCAGGGCCAAATACTGGCTTGATAGACAAATGATCCATGTTTACCACATGGCCCTTGCTTGTTTCTCCAAACAAAGAGCTCACACTATGTCCTCCCACCAACAGATATCAATTGTGACGTTCCCTCTTTTTCTCACTGCCACCAGTGGATTTCTCTTATCCACAATGTAAAAGATTTTAGTCAGACACTTGTCTGGTTATTGCCAACAGAACTTATTTATTAAAATGTATTAAATTAAATCAGAATCACAGATGTTCTTTATTCAGTGCATACAATCAAATCATTAAAATATCATATATCTTCCCACATACTCAATCACCACCTGCTCTGTCTATTAACCTTATCTCTATTAGTATATTTTCTCACTATCTTCCTGACTCTCTCTCTCTCATTCTGCAGCCTCTATCTCCTCTCTCTGCAACCTTCTTATATCCCCTGACTCCACCCCTCCACTCCTCTCATAGGCTCAATGAGATCTTGAATATGAGTGACAGGAGTGACGTGGGGCAATCGTCATAGGCAGCTTTTCGTGTTCCAAGAATCTCGGACTGTTAGGATCTTTGTCAGATCTCAGCCAGGGTTGTCGTGATTTTAACTGTTTCTGTCACAAAGGTGGCCCTAGCAGCAGAATCCTATGCATGTCTACTCAGTGGGAAATCCTACAGAGTTCCATAGGATTTGCTCCCTGGTAAGTCTGTATGGCGGCCTTCTCCAGCCTGGTGGCTAGCAGGTGTTTTGGGCTGGAACTCCCAAAATCCTTCAGAGAGCATAGCTAGGAGGAAGCTGTTGGAAATTGTAGGCCAATGCACCTGAAAAAGAATTGTGTATGGAATCAACACCTGTGATTATCACAACATGCAACTTTTCCTGCTGGTATGTCCTTCACTTAAACTCCATGTGTCATCTACCATATGTATACAGTCCCACAGGCACTTATCTTTAAGTCCTTACACATTATTTTGTGCATTGTCATTACCATCTTAGTTTAATGACTAGCCTGTCCTGCTGCCTAGACTCAGATCTTAGGAAGCAGATGGTGACAGGATGACTGGAGACTTGCCTAAATTTTGGGTGCTACATGTTCCCATGTTGTTCTGATATTGTCACAGTCCATGTATTTCTTTTATCCCTATGAAAACCTGTTTTGTGAATATAACCAGTTAAAATATCTTGGTGCCACACTTTATGACTCACACCCATAGTTGATGACTGGGTGAAATTTTTCTGTATATTTTAAGCATCTCTCTCTCTCTCTCTCTTTTTTGAATGAATCGTCTTTCCTCTATTAATATATTTAGTGCAATTGTTAACAAAATTCCTATTTCCGTAGCTGCATTTCCTATGGAAATAAGCCTAGAGTTCAAATGGGGGTGGGTCTTGAAAATGCCAGAGTGGAGGAGCAGAATCACAAATATTCATTGATTCTTCTATATCTATTCCATTGTAATTGAGTGAATTCTCCATTCCCCATGCTAGCATGCAGAAGGTTAGAAAGTTCTGGAGCAATTGTAAGTCTCGATTAGTTTTATTACAGAATGTAATATTGCCTAACGTGCTTCATTTTCTGAGAAGTGGTTTTTTTCTGCTTAATTTTTGTTAGCCATTGTATCTTTAACATGTTTTTCTGATGTTGACTCTTACAGCTGGTGATATGGCAGTACAGGCAGCTGAGGAGGAGGAAGAACTTAGTCGTGTCTCCAGTCAATATCATGACAATTACTTTCAGCCATGTAGTCTGACAGGTATGGAGTACATTCAAATTCTGTTTTTAGTCCTGGCATGAGATTTATAGAGCTGATACTTGAGAAAACAGATAATAAGAGAAAGAAGTGTTATGAGAGAGAGAGAAAAAAAATAATAATTGTGAATTCTGAACTAAATTATTTCTTCCAGAACCTCCCACAGAAGATCATCTCTTGCAGAACACACTGTGGCCTGAAACCCAAAAGTTGTAAGTAACTCAGTTTGTAGCTTTAGATAAAAGGAAAACAACGCAGAAGCTACTTTTTAAAAACATCTTCATTTTTCAGCCATCTTCCCACAAATTGTCTTGGCTAGTCCCTCATTAAATGTTATGTTCTTCTGCGCAAGTTGAAGCCAGCTGGATAGATTTGCCTTCCCAAAACAACCTCAGGGCAACATAAGTATTTCTTCCATTTTATCCTCACGACAGTACATGTCCTAATTGAAAGGGAATGGAACATGGGCTTCTAACCTATCGTGATCATACTCAAGAACAGTGGATATCTTCTAATCTATATGCTACAGATTTGCTTATAATCAACTCATTCCAAAGGCTTTGGGCTAGTAACAGTATACAGTACTTATTATCTAGAGCAACTGTGGCAATTTAAAAAAAAAAATTGTAAACCGCCCGGAGATAACAGTATACTTGTTATCTAGAGCAACTGTGGCAATTATGGTTGATGAAAGGTTTCCATGTTGCCTCCTGTACTGCAGCCAAAACTGTGCTCACGACCTGGGGTTCAATCCCAGGTAGCCGGCTCAAGGTTGACTCAGCCTTCCATCCTTCCGAGGTCGGTACAATGAGTACCCAGCTTGCTGGGGGGGCAATGTGTAGCCTGTATAATTAAATTGTAAACCGCCCGGAGAGTGCTTGTAGCGCTATGGGGCGGTATATAAGCAGCACGCTTTGCTTTGGAGCACATTTTTATCAGCCAATATCCATTGCTGCTTCAGTTCTACTTATCAGTCCTGCCACTTTTTGAAAGCTTGAAGTCTCTACTTGTGCCTTTGTCCCAAATGGACAATTTGGAATATCAATGGGATGAAAATTGTAGTTTTCCATTCTTCCCTCATTCAGCAGAACTAGTTTTTGCTGAAATGTGTTTCCTAAGTTGAAAGCCTGAGGAGCACAACAGTTGTAAGTAACAGCTTGTAGCATGCAGGATATTTCTTTAACAAAGAAGCTTAGATGGTCACTGCCTTTCCTTTGTGAATAGATGTGGTTTCTTTAGAGATCCAGCCCTTTGAAGAAATTTATGAGTCCATGTTGGTTTGCTGCTGTTGATTGTGGGTAATTTATGCAATGGTGCTGTGTCGTCTACCCTTGTGCCCCTTGCTTGACCTTCAAGAACCCGAGTACATGAAAGCAAACACTGTCTTCTTTTACGCTGCTGCCACCAGGCGATCTCTAAATCACCATTACTTCAGAAAGATTCAGGTCCACACTTCAAGTCCTTTTAAATAAAACTTTGGGTTTTTTTATTACAGAGATTGATTCATAAATATCTTCAGTAGCTAATCACACCTCAGAATTTCCCAAACTACACACTCTATTACTCTCGCTGACTCTTATTCTTGCTGACTTTTCTCTACTGCCTGACCGACTCTGACTTACATTTCTCTTACTCTCTTTGACTGACTCACGCTCCGCCTCCTATAGCATCTCTCTTGGCTGTGCCTCTCAGCAACATTAATATGCATGAACCATTTCCATTACATAACAAACATGAACCATAGACCTAATAAATAGAGAACGCTACAGGTGCAGACTTCTTTTAAAAAAATCAAATTTGACATACAGGTTCTTTTTCGGTTATTGATGTTTATTTGTTCCTGTGTTTTAAAAAGCAGTAAAGTTCTTCAGAGAGGAAAACTTGGTTTAAAGGAATAAGTAATGGTTAAAGCTGCGTCCCCAAAAGGGAGGAAATCTAGACTACAAATAAACATTGCTACTTAAATTATGGACATGTTTATGCACCCTGTTTGTACCTCAATTTCCACCTCAAAGAGATTCAAGGGGGTTCAATACATTTAGTTCTATAAAGAGAAGGGCCTCAGCTTAAGTCAGGACGAAACCCATTAAAGAGAAAGAGAATTCCTTCCCTCAAATGCATCTCTTGGACTGGATGAGTAAACCTTCTTTGACTGTGGATAGGACTATGCAGCAAATCTGCTCTTTTGTAGATCCTGATGTGATCAAAGCCTGTGTTACATTATAACTCTTCCATTTCACAAATGTTATGCTAGCTGAGATGGTTAGTAGGGATTACGGCGTAGGGTTTAGTTGGGGTGGAAGTTACTTTTTGGGATACAACTTTTGCTTTAAATCAAAAGCACACCCCACATCCTACTATGTTGTTGTTGATTAGTCATTTAGTCATGTCCGACTCTTCGTGACCCCATCCCATAGAGCACGCCAGGCCCTCCTGTCTTCCACTGCCTCCAGGAGCTGGGTCAAATTCATGTTGGTAGCTTTGATGACATTGTCCAACCATCTCATCCTCTGTTGTCCCCTTCTCCTCTTGCCTTCACACTTTCCTAACATCACCGTCTTTTCCAGGGAGTCTTCTCTTCTCATGAGATGGCCAATGTATTGGAGCCTCAGCTTCAGGATCTGTCTTTCCAATGAGCACTCAGGGTTAATTTCCTTTACAATGGATAGGTTTGTTCTCCTTGCAGTCCAGGGGACTCTCAAGAGCCTCCACCAGCACCACAATTCAAAGGCATCAATTCTTTGGCGGTCAGCTTTCTTTATGGCCTAGCTCTCACTTCCATACGTCACTACAGGAAAAACCATAGCTTTGACTATTCGGACTTTTGTTGGCAAGGTGATGTCTCTGCTTTTTAAGATGCTGTCTAGGTTTGTTATCACTTTCCTCCCAAGGAGCAGGCATCTTTTAATTTCATGGCTGCTGCCACCATCTGCAGTGATCATGGATCCCAAGAAAGTAAAATCTGTCACTTCCTCCATATCTTCCCCTTCTATTTCCCAGGAGGTGATGGGACCAGTGGCCATGATCTTAGTTTTTTGATGTTGAGTCTCAAACCATTTTTGCACTGTCCTCTTTCACCCTCATTACAAGGTTCTTTAGTTCCTCCTCACTTTCTGCCATCAGAGTGGTATCATCTGCATATCGGAGGTTGTTGATATTTCTTCCGGCAATCTTAATTCCGGCTTGGGATTCCTCCAGTCCAGCCTTCCGCATGATGTATTCTGCATATAAGTTAAATAAGCCGGGGGACAATATACAGCCTTGTCGTACTCCTTTCCCAATTTTGAACCAATCAACAGTTCTAACTGTTGCTTCCTGTCCCACATATAGCTTTCTCAGGAAAAACCATAGTTTTGACTATTCAGACTTTTGTTGGCAAGGTGATGTCTCTGCTTTTACCCTCATTACAAGGTTCCTTAATTCCTCCTCACGTTCTGCCATCTAACAAAGGACAAACCCCCAAATCAGGCAAAAGTTGGTGGTAAGCTAAGATTCGAAACAGGACTGCTGGAAACAAGAAAAGCAAAAGAGTTTGACTTCCTCCATATTTGAGATTTATACACTTGCTCTGGTTCTGAATACTATGCTACCTAAAACTGAGAAACGAACAGAAGACAACAGAGTAGCTGTTGCATGAAACTCATGCTATTAGAAGCCACAGAGTAATTGAGCAGCAGCTGTTTTTTTTCTGTGAAGGAGTTGTTTACTTGCATGGGATATGTGTATATTTGAGTGTAGGATTGATAGCCTGTCAATAGACATCTGGAGATAGATTTTTGCATGGTCTGTGTCCTGGAATCGTTCCCAGAGAGCCTGTTTTCGTCTTTGCTTTCTTCATTTGATCCAGTATTTTTAAAATGCCATTTAAGTTAGACAGCTCATTTTATGAGATATGCCAGTTTTCTATGGCCTCTCATCCTTGGCTTGTTGAAAGTGACATGGGTGCTGTAGTTTCAGGCAGTTTGGCTGCCTCCTGTGTCTGAGCAGAGGGCCTTGGAAGTATCTACAGGAATGTGGAATTCTTACACGATTTGTTCCAAAGCTTTTGCAAGGGTTGGGTACTGAGGCTCTGCGCCATTTGTAACCTGCTGAGTCAGATAGAAGGTCATGGGTTTTAAGTGGCCTAGAGGTGATAGACAGCCTTTCTGTTTTTGCAGCTCCAAGCAGGCATTAGAAAGAAATGTCAAGATGCTATTCTGTGTGCCTTACGTGGGTGGTCCACGGCTAAGCCATGATGACAGCGAGGTAGGGTAGATGCAAAGGGGGAAATTGCTGCTATACCTGGACATAGCTTCAATGTATATAAATTACAATATAAAATTGTGCTCAAATCATAAAAGAATAAGAAAAAAACAAAAGCATATAAATAAAAGTTCAATTTCCCATTGAGAACTCCTTGACAGGGGCTGAACTCAATGATCACCATTGGTTCCTTTTAGCTCTGCAGTTCTAAGATGATGATAAAAAAACCTGCAAAGGGCTGGAAATAAATAATCTAAGTCGGAGGTGGGGAGATCTAAAAGAACAACAATAATATCAGTTTGATGAAGAAAACATAACATTCCAAAGCCTTCCTGCAAAAAGCAGGTGCAAACTTTGATGAAAGGTGCTCAGATTTTCAGGTGTCCATGTGCAGTTACTGCTTATAAGTCATGCACTCAAATGTTGAAAGAGTTATAAGGTTCTGAATCCACTGATTAATGAACAGGGGTTCATTATTTGTAGTTCCACTTGTACTTCCAGTGTTGCAGTAACCGTTGTTTAGCCACTTTAACAGCATGGAGACTCTAGTTCCGGTTGGTTAATTTCCAAGAGATAGGTCACTGGTTTGGGTGGCGCTGCACGGCGTAGCCCATAGCTTCACTGAGTTATTCAAGCCCCTTCACCACGACAAGGCAGCCATCCATGAAGGGGTTAGTAAAAGATATACATATACAAAATTAAAAGATTCTTCCACACATAATAATCTTACGCTGGAAAGAAGCAGCAATTGGGCATAATCAGAGCATATGTTTGAAAGATGCACTATATTGGTGACACTTAGCAAATTTACTCAGACCTATTCTACAAAGTCATTGTCAAGTCCAGTGTACATGGAGCATAATTTTCCACTGAACAACCTGCAGCTTTAGAACTGTAAATACGAAGTCAAAGCAAGTCCACCCTCTACTGGTAAGATAAAATGGGAGAGTCCAGTCCTTCATTCCATACTTGTTTCCAACTTGCATATCATACTTATTGACCAGCATTAAATGTTTATAGATAAAATTAAAAGGTTTCTTTTTCTGTATCGATCCAGTAAGTATATCCAAAATAGAGGTGCTCAAAGCTTTAGGGGCCATACTTAGATATCAATAAGTGCTGTAACTGTAGCTTCTGCTCTTTGAGCAGAATTTGATAGTTGCTTCCTAGAAATATTGAAAAGCATAGGATTCTTGTTAACAGTGTAAATAAAATGGGCTGCCAAGAACCTGTATCTTGACTGAGTCAGGGGTTTATGCTTTTTAGGCCAGTATTGCTACTCTTTTCTGGCAAGAGATTTCCAGGAGCTTTCCCATCCTTACTACCTGAACTAAAGACCTTCTCAGAAACCCAATAGTAGTCCAATCTTACCTTTTTATAGGGACCCTGCTGATCCCCCCCCACCCCAGACCATTATTGGACCTTTTATGTATCCATCTCAAAATAGTGTGGTTTATGCCTTATGAGTTCAACCCAGAAATCTCTCTTGGAGGATGCAACATGGAGTTATGTTTGAGACAATTGCAATCAGATTAGGACTAGTATAACAGAGCAGTGAGATTTTTCCATGAGGGTGGAGGTAGCTGTATTTCTCCAGTGCAGCAGCAATAATTATAATTATGACTGTTCTTTTTGCAGAGCAGTAAGTTTTAGTGTTTCATAGAATTCTTCCTCATGCTCAGTCTTCCTCATGCACAGGGGAATAGTAGTGGAAGAGGGCGTGGTAGAATTTGGATAGCAGTAGGTGAAAATGGCAATGGCAACAAAATTTTTTTTCACTTCCATACTTTTCATGGGCAGTGATTAGGTTCTTCCAAATTGATAGGACTGAGATGGTCACACAAGGGACATATTCCAATTGCTCCAGAAGCTCATTGCTCATGCACAGTGCTCCCCCCCTCCAATCTGTTTGTTCTCTTGGATGACCAGGCTAAACTCAGAACAATCAAGTGGAGACTACGATATTGAAAAGCATGTGGGTATGCATGCACATATATACAGATAAACTTAAATCTGTTTCTGACACAATTGAGTTCAGAGAAGGCAGCATTATTTGTGATAATAAATTTCAAGCCCTCTCTTGTCTTTTGTATCAGCTTCTTTGTTTTGCATAGTTTTTGTGTATCTCATGAACAACTTGGGTTGTATACAGCGGTGCCCCGCATAGCGAGGTTAATCCGTTCCGGATTAACCCTCGCTATGTGAAATCGTCGCTAAACGGAATGTAAAAGCCCATTGGAACGCATTAAACATCGTTTAATGCATTCCAATTGGCCCTAAACTTACCATTCAGCGAAGTTTCCTCCATAGCGGCAACCATTTTCGCGCCCTCGGTAAGCGAGGGGAGGGCGCGAAAACGCTGCGTGTGGCCATTTCGGGCGTCCAGCGGCCATTTTAGAACCGCCGAACAGCTGATCGCCCGACTCTGTGGGAGGCTTGGGAGGTCGGCAGCAAGAGGAGGAGAAGAGGGAAAGGGGGGGAAGGACGCGCGAGTGCACGGCTTCCCTCCCTTCGCCTGCCTGCCTTGCCGCCTGCCTTCGTCCCTGGGGATGTCAGGAGAAGGACGAGGAGGAAGAGGGAAAGTGGGGGGGGAGGATGCGCTAGCGCGCGGCTTACCTCCCTTCACCTGCCTGCCTCGCAGCCTGCCTTTCTCTTCCCGGCCAGTGCGGCCCCGCATCACTCTCGCGGCGGCTGCTCCTTCCTGGCACCCGTCTTCGGCCCATCTTCGGTAAGCGAGTTTTTTGCATAGGGACGGACGCAGTGCCTCCGCATTAGCGATCCCGGAGAAGGGATCGCTATGCGGATTCGTCGTTATACGGTGCGCTCGTTATGCGAGACACCACTGTACTTGCTAGCTCAGTAATTCCCATTTGGTGCTGAAAAAGTAGGTGGATGTTCCACCGTTGTGCCCATAACTTGCAAGGTTGGCACTTCTGGTACAGATCTAGGAGTGATCTTCAGTAAGTGATCTTTCTGGGGGGAAAAAGAGAAAATAATGGTGTTTAGATATTGTATATCATCTTTTCAATGAAGGGGATGGAGGATCATTTTAAACACCATGTGGTTGGGTTTTCTTACATCTGGCCAGATGTAGATGGTTTTAAAGGGAAGATGCTGGTATCCATACCTTTGTAGGTGTTGAACAGGATGCCTTGGGAGGTAATTCTCTGTGAGAAAGGGCATATGGCTCATTGTAACATCTCTACTTAGATGAAATGACTTTCCTTAAGACTCAGAATTTTGCTGCACATTTTCTGAACAAGTAAGCAGTGTATTTTGACAAGCAACAAGAAAATATTGTTAGTTCCCAATTGCAATTGTGTGGTATTAATCTTGAAAGAGGCAATGTGAAATCACATAAAATGTAGGCTTAATGTTGCCATAGCAGCCAGAAAAACAGGAACTGGACTGCTAAAAATAGAGCATTTGGCAATTACATTTCAGTGCAGATTATAAGAGTCTGAGCATCAGAATTCAGAATAAATGTTTAATTTTGATAAATATTTAAGGACATAATTGTGCATAGCAGTATACTGAAGTGTTTGAATGCACAGATTATGTTTAGGGATAATATGGACTTTGAAACAGCTCAGATAGATCCAGTGATTTGTTTTCTCTGAAGTGAATTGGTTGTGAAGTATGTGCAACATAATGCTTATAATCATATATCTATTATACATTTTGGAAATTTTATAACTGCACGATGTGTACATCTTATAATACTAGGAACTGGATCCTGTTTATTTAACTATAGTATGAATATAGACTGATTTACACATGTATGTGCACCACTAGATATTGGTTTGTTTATTCATCACTTTCTGGTGCCTAGCCACATATGTGAACTGTTGCCATTGCAAATTACAATGTTGATATAGATATAATGTTCTGTCTTTGATGAACTAAATACTTAGGAAATAAAGTTTGATGCTGCAAGCCAGGCTCTAATAGGTAGATTACAAGGTAACAGGTTACCTGTGCCTTAGATCAACACTAATCGGATCTAATAATAATTATGTATCAAGTCAATTCTGATTCACGGTTACCTTTCTTAGGGTTTCATAGGCATAAAATATTCAGAAGTGGTTTAGCAGTCATTTCTTGTGGTGGGGTCCTACGACTGGACAGCTGCCCCAAAGCTGTGCAGACTGGTATAGTATGCTTATATTTGGTTATTATTTAGTAAGCAGACCAATAGCATGGAACATTTTCATTCTCCTGCCTTTTCTGAAATGCTTTTCCAATAGCTGAAAATATTTGGACTAACTATTAGGAATAAGTACATGAAGATCTTTAATTTTAAACATTGTTTTCAAGGTCAAATAGTATAAAGCATGACAATTCAGTAGCAAAATAAGGCAGCACCTGAACATAGTTTTCCATTATGTATAAACTTGGAAGTCCACCCAGGTTTGGAACTGGTTCTGGAAGGGATTGCATTTCCCCTAAACCACAACAGGAAATCTCTGGCCCATGGGACTAAGTCAGCCCGTGGATGGTCAGAATCTGGCTTAAGAAAGGTCAGAGTCTGGGAATAGTCTTCATTTACCCCTCTCCTCCCTATTCCCTATATGTTCATCTATGGCGGATTGCCCAGCTGCATTCCCTATATGTTACAAGGGTTCAGAAAAGAAATCTACCTGTTATCCTTGTTTTCCCGGCATACCTCTCTCCTTCCCAATTGGAACCTTCAGGTCTTGAGGGTGGGTGGTCCTCCCGTCAGCGGTATAGGTAACTCCCTTTCTTTCGGGGAGACGACCCTTGCCGCAAAGAATGAGGTTCACAGCTTGGGGGTACATCTGGACCCGGCACTTACCATGGAAACCCAGGTGGCGTCTGTGGTCTGCTCCACCTATTTTCATGTATGGCGGATTGCCCAGCTGTGTCCAGATCTTGATCGGGGGGCCCTCACTACTCTAGTCCATGCGCTCGTAATCTCGAGATTAGACCATTGCAACGCACTCTACGTGGGGCTGCCTTTGAGGCTGATGCGGAAATTTCAGAGGGTCCAGAATGCAGCAGCCAGGCTTCTTAGTGGGGTGGGAAAACACCAACACATCTCCCCCACTCTGGCTGCTTTGCACTGGTTGCCCATCCGTTTCCACGTCGACTTCAAAGTGCTAATGATTACATATAAAGCCCTAAATGGTTTGGGACCTCAATATTTGGCAGATTGTCTTCTCCCACCCAGATCTACCCGAATCACCCGCCATAGCCAGCAGGTAACTTTGAGAGAGGCTCAGAAGAAAAAAACTAGAAACCAGGCCTTCTCGGCGGTGGCCCCTCGGCTGTGGAACGCCCTCCCAACAAGCTGGGGCCTGATGGTGCTGTTTAAAATGTTTTACAATTTTTGATTTAGTTTCCAGCATTATTGATGATCCATCCTTTTACTACTTCATTTTTTCTTGTTTTTCCCCTGCAGATATGGCCATGGCTATGAAGTGTTTTGTGTAGCCTGCAATCATGCAAAAACTCTGATTGCCTCAGCATGTAAGGTAAGCGTGAAAGAAAGTGTGAATGTCAACATATGCTACCAGACTAACATACAGTTGTAGATAGGGGAGGAAAAAGGGGTGAGAGAGTGGTGTAATTATATAGGAAACAAATTAAACCTGGAAATTAAAGAAGATGAAATTAAGGAATATGAAAAACTGACGAAGTAAGTTATAAAAAATGACTCTTGATGATAGGTTGGGAAACAGGCATAACTGTTAGATGTGAATTCTGTAAGTTAAAAAGTTATGTAGGCATTATCTATTGCACATTGAGTAGCTTGACTCAACATGCAACATATAATGCCTCTAGAGTTTTCTTAACTTGAGGCAATTCCCCTCCAAAAATTAGACATTATTTATTTGTTTGTTCAACTTCTATATCACCCATCTTGCTACAAGGCCTCTCTTTTGTGTAACAGTGCAACAGGATTTCAACCATTAAATTATTTTTGCTTTAATTTATTAATGTATCTATTAAAGTACATGCATGCATGAGAAGAAGTAGATTGTATTAGGTAGATTTTATGACAAAGAACTTGTACTTGCCACTGTAGGGGTTTTTTTTTGGTGGTTTGCTTTGGTAAGGTTTGTGCAACTTGTAACTGCAGCAAATTGGGCAAGGTGCAGGATACCTCTCAGTTCTATGCCTGGTCATGTGCCCCATACACCCCAGCACCTTAGCGATTACCTACATCAGGTTACACAAATTTGATGCAAAGATTCTGACCTGTATGTATATAAGAGAAATACAACCAGTTCTTGAATTAGAAGTATCTATAGAATTGGCTGCTGATGTATGGCTTTGGTTTTGTTTTTAAAGGGGGTTGGGGTGATTGTTTCATTCTGTTACAATTTTAAAAATAAAGTTGAAGTAAGAAGAAAACTTTTGAAACATCTGCTTGGCCACTGAGTGAATGACCTAACATTTCTCTTGTTTCCATAATAATTGTGTTTCTTACCTATAGCAAGTAAAAAGAGCTACGGGTTTCTCCAACCTGTTGACTGCTTTGTTGTTTCTGCCTCAGGAGTCTACTTGTTCCTTTTTCCAGCTCGTTTTTCCATATTTCTAATATTTTTGCTTCCCTTTTTTACAGGCTTCCAAGAAAGAACATGCCGCAGTTATTTTGTGGAACACTAGGACTTGGAAGCAGCTGCAGAGCCTACGTTTCCACAACCTGACAGTAACACAACTTTCATTTTCCCCTAACGATAAATTCTTACTAGCAGTTTCAAGAGACAGGAAGTGGTCACTTTGGAAGTATAAAGATATTGATGTTACAGAACCAGGTAAGATATTGCTGTTAATGCTAGAAAATGAGTGTTGTAGCTTTTTCAGGTAAAGAGAGGACATCTAGACCTTAGAACCATGCCTTGGTTCTAAACCAGAATGAAACCCGGCTTGGTTCTGAGGGCTGGATCCCAAGTCTCAAACCACTGTTTGCACAAAATGTTGCCTAAAATGGATATCCTGGTTACCATTAAGAGCTGATATTGTTGATAAATACGTAGTGCTAAATTGTAGCTAAATTATAAAAGGAGAGAGGTTCGGGGAATTTGCAGCACAATTGGCTACAAAGTATTCTTACCTCAGAATGAGTTGTGATTTGACAGGGTGTGTTCCCCCCCCAGTGAAGGTGTAAATTAAATATTAATGTGCCACAAGGACTGGATATAGTGCGTTCTTTTTTTAAATTTCATAAAATTATCAGTTCAAACAGGAATAGAGTCTGATCTGAGCTTCAGCAGCAGTACTCCCATTTCATGTTGCTCCTGCAAATTTCGTGTGATCTGAAAATAACTGACAATACCTTCGCTAGTGTATGAATTACGTATATTGCAGAAATCAAAGTACTCCCAAGGGCAACAGTTCAGACTGAGTAGATCAGCATTGCCTTAGGTTTTGGCCAATAGATGGTGGTAGATATTTTCCTTCTGTCATTGACCTCCCCACAAGAAGAGATGGGAGGATACACCGAATTGGGACGGTGGTTCTCCGCTGGCCATCCCTGCTATGGATTGCGGTCTGGTCCTTTTTTATTGTTCCATTTTTTGAGAGAGTTTTGTCTGTTACAATTTAAAAAGGGGGTGGGTGGGGTTCTTTTGTCTCTGTTTTTCCAGGACCAGCTTTCAGCCTCTTTGCTTCTACAGACCAAAACACTCCTGGGCACAGTCGCATCATTTGGTCCTGTGACTGGACCCCTGACAGCAAATATTTCATTACTGGAAGCAGAGACAAGAAGGTAAGATGTGCCTGAGGCAGCTATGTCTTTATGCTTCCTGCCATCCCTCAGTTCTCTCTGCTTAGGCACTTGATGCTATCCACTGCCCATCCATAGGAGAGGTATGGTAGATAGGGAGAAGGGGAAAGCCTTTCTCAAGGACCACCAACATTCTTAGTATTCATTGCTGTGAAGAACTAAGCTGACAGACACCCTATTTAGCTGCATTTTGCTATATGGTGTTGACCTTCATGTTCAGATGTGCATTTGCTTCCTGAGTTTTTTGTGATGTTAACCAGAATCATGTTGGTGTTTGTGGCAAATTTGCACCGCTTACTGTGGCTACTTGATGAAGTGTCAGGGCACATCTGAGTTGGGCAATTGACATATGAGCAGGATGCACCCTGGCACTTTGCTAATTAGCTGCAATTAGCCATAGCAACCTTCATGAATACTAATAGGCCACTGAGTTTATATTATCTCTCTGTTTTTGTTGTATTCTTTAATTTTACTGCGTGAGTGTAATTTTATAGTGTTGTTTAATTTTATTAAAAACACAGTAACAGTAGGATCATTCTTTGGATAAACAAAATAAATAAATTGTATCTAAATTTCTTATGTAATTGTTGACTTAGGATACTTGCATTTGGGTTTCGCAGAGACTTATTCTCCTGCCTTCCAAATTTGTTTTGTTTGAACACATGCAGGTTGCCTATTGTCTTGAATGGGGAGGAGAATGTGTGGAGAATGGAATCACTCCTAGAGTTTTGGAGTGATCCCCATGAATACTGAGTTGCATAAGCAGCTTCCATCCACGTACATACATTTAAGCCACACAGATATTTGCTCTGTACGACATCCTTTATTGTCGGCTGTGCTGCTGCAGAACCGCAGCAGATGTACAGGCTTGTCCACATCTCATGCACCTTGCATCTCTCAAAAGTCATATGTGTGAGTACTATGGCTATCTGTGGTAGTAAATCAGCAGTGCCATTGGTATATATGAAACTTTTGCAACAGAAGCAACAGATCCATCAAAAGCATAACGTCGGAGGTTTGGTAGTGGGCAAAAAACAAAGGGAGATAAGGAGTGAAACATACAAGGATTACAAGGGATGAATGCCTGCCATTGTGGATGCTCATTCTTTGACCTTGTTCTGGAGGGGAGTGAGGAATGGGTTGGTTGCCACTAACTGGATTATTAGAACATGGAAAACTTCTCTTAGTAATGACTTGCTGTCTTATCCCACCTTCTCACATTTGGAATACTCTTCTGGAACATCTACTCTCTGCACTTTCCCCACCAAATGCCTGGTGAGGCTTTTGGAAATAAGAGTAGGGTGTAGCTATCTTTGTCCTTGACTGCTTTTCACTGTCCTGTTGTCTCCCCCCTCCGAAGAAATAAAGATCCACCACTTCCTGTTTCTGCATGCTAGTTTTTTCTAACCTTCAAGCTGTTAACATCTTTTCTTGAGGGTGGACAATTTCTTTTCACTTCTGCCTGGTTTATTGCTCCAGAGAATAGACAAACAAGGTGGGTTTAAAGGCTCATAGGGAACACCGCTGCTGTTTACTTTGCTAACAAAAGGATCTCCTAACAGAGCTTCCCACAGATTTAATAATCTGAATCAAAATGTCCAACACTCATATGTTCTCAGGTTGTGTTTTGCAGTCTGTACTTAAGCTTGACTTTTGTCTTGCTGCTATTAGAGGGAATACGAGCTGTACAGGTTGCCTTTTTAATATATCACCATTTATATCAAGCAACTTTTCAACATGCTTTTTTTCTCACAAGGGTAGCCTTGCAAAGATGGTTTTCCAGCTAACAGGAATCATCCAGTCCCTGCTTTTGTATCTTTCTCCTACAGTAATAGAATGTACTGTCTCTGTTTCTGTACACGATTTGCTAACTGGCAGAGGTATTTGCACCACCTAAGTCTCTGTAAAGTACAGTACCTCAGCCATTCTGCTACGTATGCTTTTTTCTTTTCTTTTTCAAATCATCCCCGTCAGTGTCTCAGAGCTGCAAGGAACAGATTTGGAAGTGCCTTCTGTTTTCTTGTCTGATCCCTGGAAAGCCCCACTGTTTTCAGCAAGGTCAGGATGGTATGCGTTTAATTACTGCTCCCTCTTTTAATAGATCTAAGCCAGCTTTTGGTGTGTGACCATTTTTACTAACTCTTGCTGACGCAAAGACTGTCTTTGAACACCTCTAAAATGGCTGTGATCAATCTGTCATGTTGTTGACAGTATCTGAGGATTGTGTTAGCTTGATGACATTGCTTCCTTTTTTTGTACTTTCTTCTGACTTGTTATGGTACTTAAATTAGTCCCAGCCATTCAGTAAACTAAGGAAGGGCATTGAATCTGACGTAAGCAGACAATGAAATTTAAAACAACTTTTTTTCGCCTGTGGATGCAGCCAAAAGCAGCTTCTTATATATCATACCAGTGACAACAACAATAAGGCCAGCTATTTATAATCAGGCACATCTCTGTGCCAGTCTTTTATTATGTATTTTAGTTATCTCTCATTTTGTGTCACAAAAGTGTAAATATACTGCCGTAGAAAACTGCATTCTCCAAGTCTTACAAAATGCAGAGGTAAATAAAGTATATCTGACAGATAGCTGTCTAATTTTCTCTTGAATGCCTCTAGTAATTGGTTTCATTGTTGTACTTTTCTAACAAGGAAATTTTTAAACAACATGGGAAGTAGTGGTTACCAGTTATAAGTCTTTGTTTGATTGGTGTAGAGCATGATACCAGGGGCTACTTCTGACGGTGGGAGACGTCATTGCACCTCACTAGGTAGATACCGTCCGACTTGAACTGGGCAGTCCCCAGCCAGTAAGGTGCTACCTCGCCACGGTCTGTTAACTTCATGGGGTGCATGGGGTTTAGGGTGAAACCCGACAAGCAGATTGATAATTTTTAGCATATATACATTACTGAAACAGCGACGTCTATATTGGCTTGGGCACGTCGTGAGAACGGCTGATGGTCAGATTCCAAAGGATCTCCTGTGTGGAGAATTAATGCAGGGAAATCGCCCCAGAGGGAGACCACGGCTGCGATACAAAGACATCTGCAAGCGGGATCTGAAGGCCTTAGGAATGGACCTCAACAGGTGGGAAACCCTGACATCTGAGCGTTCAGCCTCCCAATTTGAAGAGACCCTTGTCCAGCAGGCTGAAGCAAAGAGGCAGTCACGAAAGCAACAAGATCAGGGAGCTGGCCAGGGGACAGATGGTATTTGTC